TAACACAAACATATAAAAACAGTATAATGAAAATACTGATAATGATCAGAAATACTTGGCAAGGGATCTCAGTGCAAAACAAGTTAAGGAATTTTTCAACAACAAATACCCTACCCCATGAGTATTACCCATGTGGGTTTATTAGTCTTTTCTTTTGGCGGGGGGGTGGCTAGGGTTTGAACTCAGGGCTTTGCATTTGCAAAGCAGGAGGGGCTCTACCACCTGAGTCACATCTCCAGTCCATTTTGCTCTGGTTATTTTGGAGATGGGACCTTGCAAACTATTTGCCTGGGCTGGCCTCGAACCATGATCCTCTTGATTTCAGCCTCCCATATAGTTGTGACAAGAGCCACATGCCCCCAACTTATTAATAACTTTTAAAGGCGTAAGAATTATGCCAAATCCACTGACAGGTTTTCATTACCGTAACAAAAAAAAAAAAAAACTAGACACAAGTACTGATGAAAGAGGTTTATTTGGCTCACAATTCTATGCTTTAAGTTGAAAAGGTACAGTGCAGGCTCAGCAAGGGCTGCCCATTGGCTGCTTCACCTGGGAGGAGGAGGAGAGGAGCAATGGTGACAAGTGTATGCATAAACAAGCTACTATTTCAGCCAGGAATAGTGAGAGGGGCCAGACTTGCTCCTTTTATTTATTCTTCTAGCAAGAACTACCTTATGCCCCCAGAGGACAACCAGCACCACTTCTTAATGTTCTGCCACTTTCTAATACCACCACTCAGGAGACCAAGCTTCCAATCACATGACCCAAACCACATGCACAGCCTATGAGGATGAGCAGCTAAAGGCCTGCTTGGTTGACACTTGGATCTCTGCCACCCACCACAGGCATGTAGTAGGGGTAGAAACAGAATTCGTTAAATGCATGAATAAGCTATTGTTTTACATAGGATTAAGGGAGTTTTACTTTTGTCTCATTGTATGTAGCCCAGGCTGGCCTTGAACTTGTGATCCCTCTTGCTTCAGCCTTCTAAATGCTGGGAGTACAAGAGTATGCCACCACACCCATCCAATGTATAGTTAGGTGATAAATTTAAGTTAAAATTCTCAGTCACAGCTGCCACAAAAGTTAGTTGTAAAAAAAAAAAAAAGTGTAAACTATTTGTTGGTAACCTCTATGAGAGCCCCATTTCTGTAATGTAGTTTTTCCCCTAAGATAAGGACAAACACTGGATATCGTCTATCAGCACATTTATTCAAACTGACATCACATGGCTTCTGTTAATATACACTGAGAAAAACACAGAATTCCCAAAAATGCATAGAATACAAAGAAACATCAGACAAATTCAAACTGAGGAATATTCCACAAAGAAACCAGTTATCTTCAAAATGCCATGCTATTAAATACAGAGAAAGACTGAGGAACTGCTCCGCACTGAAGGAAACTAATCAAACAGTCATGAAGTCTATAATCCTGGAACAAATCCAGGACCCACACAAAACATTTTGGGATAAGCTGCAAAATCAGAATAAGGTCTGTGGATAGGTGTATCAAATCAATGTTGATTTTCTGATTTTGATGGCCTATAATTGTAGGGTATGTAGCAAAGTATCTTTAAAAAAAAGTGTTCACCAAAACCAGAATGCTATCACCACTTCCTGGTTCTGTGACAAATGTGGATTAGAATGGGCAACTCGGATATGATTCTTAGATTTTGTGACCTGCAAGCAATCCACCATGAAAGGATTGAGGACACGGGGTAATGTGTAGGTGCTAAAAATGAAAATTCACTGAGCAAAGGAAAAGGAAGGCCAACGTAAGGCAGTAAAGGCACAGAGCATCCATGAGTCACATAAAAGCACTCAAAAAGGTAAGCATCCTGTCTAGTCTTGAATTTGGGGAGTAGTCAAGGAAAATAAATATAAGCTGCTTAAAGGAACACGTAACCTCACATCTAATGGCTTTATGACATTTGTTATCAGGAAACATATTTGTTACTACTTTCATTAAAAATTGTAGGGTGGGGTTTAGCTCAACACTACAGTGCTTGTCTAGCAAAAACCAAACCCTGGGTTTAACCCCAGCACAATAAAAAGTAAAATCTAAAAAATAAAAAACTCTAAATGCACAACAAAAAGTAAAAAATGAAAACTCTAAATGCTATACAGCAATAAAAAAGGAATGAAATACTCATATATGGTACACCTGCAAAAACATCATAGTAAATGAAACAAGGCAGACACAAGAGACTATCTTATGGTTCATAAAAATAAAACCGTAAGTGTGAAATGCTCATGAAAGACTCAACTACAGAGACAGAAATTAGAATAGCGATGACCTAAAACTCACATGGGAAGAGGGGTTAACTGTTAATTTCTCCAACCCTAAATTTCCTCATCTAATAATGGTAATTATAGTATCTAACTCAGAAGGCTTCTTTTGAGGATCAAAGAAGATAATATAGGAATAAACCACAGAATAATGCTGCTGCATTCAGGAAGGATTCAAAATATTCACATACATAGCTTGAGAATCTGGAAAACGAATTTCTTCCCAAGCTTATTTAAAAGTTTATTAAAACAAATAAACCTAGAAAGAAATTTATCATAATATGTACTAAATTACAAAAAGGAAAAAGTGTAAATTTATAGTTACTTAAAGATTCAGCAGCAAACTACTTCATCCTAAACCTATTCCTAAGAGCTTAAAATACTTTGGAAGTTTAAAATATAACGCGTAAAAACAAACGAAAATGTACTAAATTACCCTTATTTTCCCAATATCCGGTTTGTTAAATAAAGGGTAAGGAAATGCTAAGACTCTTCCCCGCTCTACCTTCCTTCCATTTTCGTAAATCGGTATTCGGTGTGTAATCCACAATCTCGTTATTTTTCGCTGTTTTCCGTACTTTCTACACGTAAGTCCTTTACAGAAAGGGACTTCCATTTTGCAAATTGCAGTAGTTTTGTATGGAGTCGGATGAGGCACTATGTTCCTCTGCACAGCTGCCTGCCACTTTTTTCCCTTTCAGTGATGCCCTAGTAAATCTTTGCTTTCTCCTAAAAAGAAAAGAAAAAAGAAGGAGGGTTGGTAGAATGCTCAAGTGGTAGAGCACTAGCCCTTAAGTGTGCGGCCTGGAGTTCAAACCACGGTAATGCCACCAAAAAAAAAAAAAAAAAGGACAGTGAGAGAAGAAGTATGATGTTCAGTAACATCCCAGACCACAAAACTCTGGAAGTCATTAATGCTGGGCACAAAAGCATCCACACATTCTTCCATGCCATCCTGTCCTTTGTGGCATAGGCTATGGAAGTAAAGGCTATGAAGCCCTTCCTTCCCAGTGAGTGTCACAGCGACACAGCTACTACCTCCTGAACTCAATCCTTTCAATACAGGTACACAAAGTGAAAAGTTGCTAATCCACCAGTCTTATCAGACAAATAAATGGTTGCTTACTTTTCATCCTTTGAAATTATTACTTCTTTGAATATAACCTGTATATCTTTGGTTCAACTATTTTCTCACCATCAACATTTATATGCTTATTATCTTCCAGACCATTTATAAAAAGTACTTGTTTTCATCATTCTGTATTTCCAGAAAATGTTTCTAACATGAGGAGAGAGTAGACACAAATTTCGATATTTAATAAATTTTATCTTGATAACATCAAAAACAAGTTTACACTTTAAATTGCATTATAAAAAATACATCAGTCTTCACATTAGTTTTACATGGAAATATATAATTATTTGAATATTTAAATATAGCTTTTCTTTAAGCAAAAAAAATGTTACTCAGAGCCCTAGTTACATAAATAATTTAAATGCACAAATGCAAAAAACACACTTCACACAATATTGTCCACATACAGTATATAACTTAGGACAATTACAATAAAGATCTATGCAAAGACAAGATTGACAAAATATTCTTATGGTTGTAATTTGACATTTTACTATTAAAAGAATATAATGCACTCTTGACTACACAAAGTCACCAATTGTTTACCTAATCTGCAAATTAAACCAACATTTATTTAGACAAAGGGGCACATCTTGTATCCTACTGAACTCTGAAAGTAATCCATTCCCAATTTAACTAAAATTATGCATTTTATAATTTCAAGTTTACAAGTTTGCCTAAAATAATAGTCGCTGTAAGAACTTAGTAAGCATTTCAAAAATGGTAAGCAAAATCAATTCTGTATATTTTTATATTTTCAGTAATGCAAATGTTAAATACAAACCTTTTCTCTGTCCTCCCTTAAGATGGTATTTAGAAGAGTTTCCAATATGTAAAAGGTAGTGAAATTTTTTAACTTTAAATTTTGATCACTTGAATTATAAAACCTGTCCTCTCTGCATGATGTAATCATGGTATGATTTATCATATTTACATAGTACATTATTTTCCCAAGAACTCTTGCTTTCAAGCTTACACTGAAAGAATACAGAAGTTACCTAAGGGAACTATGTGTCTACTCCATAGGGAAAAAATAAATCAATACCTACCAACAGAACATATATATTACCTGTTTGTTTACTTCCTAATCAGGACAGAGCTTTCTTCCTAAATTAAAATTGGAAGATTATTTTGAACTAATGGCCCAAAGTGATATTTTTTAAGAAAAGAAATTAAAATGTTTTGTATGTAAGGAGGGAAAGTTAAGGAAATGCTACATATGTTGCCTTTCCAACTAAAAAATATACACTTGCCCACTTTTCTCAATGTACTTAGTTTAAATTTAGAAGTAAAGAAATTACAACATTATCACCATCATAACATATGCACAGGTTAAATAATGGCCCCAGAAACAAAACCACGTTTATACTTCATTAATTCTAAGGTAACACATTTTTATTTCTGAAATCAAGACACATCTTAACACTGACTCTAGTTTCAATAAAATATAGTAGTTACGCAGTTTGGGGGAAATTTCTATTTACCCCTAACAACAACAGCAAAGATCCGGGGCCTTGGCTGAACAGGATATGGGATGCACCTGTTATCAGCTCAATTAATGTCCCCTGCTGAAGGATCTAAGTATGTTTGAGGACCCTAGATTTATACAGTTTATCTGAACATCTTTCATCTGAATTATTGAAATCAATTAGGTAGTTCATGAGAAATTATCAAGTTAGTTTACCTTAGACTATCTAACTAGTTAAAGAAAATCAATTAGATAGTTTAAGATAAGCTAACATACAAATAGTTTTTTACTTGTAAAATGGGCCTCCACTGAGGTTACTAGTTTTATTCAATTTTTTGAAATGTTAAGTTATTTACTGGTGACCACAATTAGTGGCCTGCCAAAATAATACTATCAAACCAATAATCTCAGGTCAAGTTATTAAAGTAATAATATACTGTCTAAGATAATATTAAGAGATAAGGCCATAAAATTACCTGTATTTTCATACTAAACCACCAACCCTTCATGTAACAGGGAGTTAAAGGTGGTTAAAATGGAACCTAATTAGCGAAGTCTTTTTCATCATTAAGATCTAATAATGCTAAAGAAGAGATGTATGTGTACATGTGTCCAAATGAGGAAAGTTACAGATTTGCAGATCAATTTAAATGAAGGAGAATTTCTGTTATATCCATAAAATCACCAGGCACTTTTTAAAAACTGGATTAAAGATTATGGATTCTCATTTTCTGGACTGCTTTTAAAAGAAAGATAAATTATATTTTGTTTGTGATCACTTACGTCAATTGTGCTCAAAAGCTGAGAAGATACATTGTTCTTTCTAGTTATGTAGCTAGAATACCATATTGGTAATGTTACTCTGAACCATGTAGACTCCAGGTACATATGTATTTGTTCCAATTTTTTTTAAAGATGTCATTAATAAGTTTACTATGTTCATTCTCCCAATGTGTAACTTGCTGGCACAAAAGATTATCATAAAAAACAAATAAAGACATTATTTAAGGAACAAAATTCAATATACTATGCTAAATTATAACAACAAATTAAGATGAAGCTCTTCTACAGAAAATGGACAAAGGTTGTCTTTGACTCTTAAAAAAAAAAGGACTCTAAAACACTGATTTTAAATGAATATAAAAGTTCTGAAAAATAATATCTATAGCAAAATAGTTTGTCAGTTTTCCACCAAAGTTGGTAAAACTATGTGCACTAAAGTTCCAAATGTGTTTCAAATGAAGTACTGAATTCTCCACTAGCCATGACACAAAAACTTCTATTTTACCTCATTACCTCTCAATTTACTTGCAAGCCGAGTCACCATTCTATCAGAATCTGGTATGAAACACGAACTTCTCAAATCATATTCTCTAACAGGTGCAGGCTTTTTCTTTCTGCGGGGGTAACTTCTGTTATCGTGCTTCTTCCTTGCTTCAGCACTGGAAGGATGCTGCACAGGCTGCTTTGGAGAAGGACCTGCAATAGCTCTTAAGTGCTCTTCAGCACCAACTGATGGAACTGATGACTTCCAAAGCATTTTAGCTGCCCTCTTCATCTTCTTAATCCTATTGGCAAGAGATATTTTCTTCTTAAGATGGTTTCCAAGAAGACTGACCCTGTGTTGACACCTACGATGCATAAAAACAGAGTCTCTAGAAATATACTTTTTAATTACTCCACTTGCTTTCATCAGAACCCAAATTGTCAGTTTTTCCGAAATTAATGCAGAATTTTGCAGGGCAGTAACTGCTTTAGAGCGGTTTCGGGACAACCTTGACTTATTTCTAGTTGCCACTTTCCTTCTTCGAATTTTTTTATTTTTATTTCCCAAAAATTCACTTCTAACTGATTTGGGAGAAATCTTGGCAGCATCAGTATTTAAAAGAGTTGGCTGAAAAATACTATCCTTTGGAACCTCACTAGCATTTGCATACTCTGAATTTTCTAGAAATGCATAAGATTCACTGATCCTATGACGTGACCTTAATTCGTATCTTGCTGGTATTGTCATAAAAGATGTTGGAGCGAGGTTTTGCATGTTACCACCACTCTCTCCAGCATTGGCACTCAGATCACTCCTGTTAAAATCAATGTCAACCCTCTCATGTCTGTCAAAGTCTGGAACCACTAGGTTCTGTGGAGAATTAATTACAGTTTTCATAAGCAATGGATTGTTACATGTGCATACAAACTGTAAGTCATTATCACAATTACAGTGCTTCATTTTAGGTGCATTGAAGGATTCACTTATCTTCGGTTCGGTATTTAAAGAAGGAACACAGACTAGGGAACCAGACTGTACAGGGTCCAAAACTTTAGCTTGTGGTATAGGAAATTCAACTGTCCCAATTTTGGGTTTTTTTTTTTCCTTACTGTCATTCTGCAAATACTTCTTTTTGGGTGATTCTTCTTCTTGTATATTTATTTTTCTTTTCTTCAATGGGTAATTCATAAAACTAGGTTGAGTTCCAGGGTTGGCTTTTACTGTCTGGCTCTGAGAAGTCACGTGCCAATTTTGTTGATGAAGCCCCTCTGCCGGAGAAAAATGAGAGGATGGTTTATCTAAGGCCACTGAAAAGTTATCAATATCTGCAATTCTACCTTCAACAACTTCTGACAGAGCCTGAATTGATGCAGCGTCCTGATTAAAGTCAGACCAGGTAGTCTTTTCTTCTTCATTCAAAAAAACTTTTTTGGTCTCAGAGTCATCATCAAAGTAACAGTGGGAATGACCTTCCGTAAATCCCTCCATAAGGGTATTAATTTCTATATCATCTTCTCTTGTTTTCTGAGACCATGTGTTTTCCATAAATGGAGGTGGGACATAAGGCAAGCCTTCAAAAACTGGTTCATTAGGATCATCTGCAAACTCCCTTGCTTCTTCCAGGTTCCTTACAGAATCAACCATGGGAACAGGGCTTGATGGGTAAGTATAGATCTGTTCTCTCAGGTCAAAAGTTACCTTCTTACGTCGGCGTATTTTCTTAACAGCTTCTTGAGGCTGGTCAGTGTTAGACTGATGAGAAGGATCATTTTGAAAATTCATCTCAGAACCATAAGATTTATAACTTGTACTTTGTAGATCTGGACATTTTAAATTCAAAGGGTTGACTATATTAGATGTATGTTGGATCACTGACACAGCAAAAGCAGCACGGTCCACTACAGGAACACCAGATTCCCAGCTCTTATCTTGTAGGTCTGTATTTTTTAGACCTCTCCAAAGGTTGACTTCATCAGCTTTCTGTAGCTGATGAGTCACTGGCTGAGAAGTGTCTTCCAAATTAAAATTTCTTTTCTCTTCTGAGTCAACACAATTTTGATCAGGCCCTTGTGACTGGTAAGACATGGACTGATCAGAAACCTTAACGTTAAAATTTATTTCATAACCACAAGACTGACAAGTGGTGTCTCCTAGAATAATATAGTCATTCTTCCGGTTTATTATTCTGAAACTCTCTTTGGACTGGTTTATCACCGACTGAGGAAAGGCTGCATAATCATTTCTTAGTTTACAACCACAAAATTCACAGTATCGAACAGAGTTTGCAGGGCTGGTGTCTTTGACAGTCATCTGAGGTGGGTCAGTAACTGGCTGAAGAGGGACATTAGAATCAGAAATTACTTCACGATCACAATCACTATCACTGGCTGCCACATCCACAAACACCACCTGTGGAGAATCTGCTTCTCCATCTGATGTTTGGACTTGATTAACTACTATTTGAAAAGAGACATCAGAATCATACATCATTTCAGAGTCACTAGGTTCATTGGACTTCTCTTCCATGTCAAGAAGCTCTCTCTCCTGAAGGTTTGTTTCACTGCAAGTCACTTGAGGTGGTTCAATTTCTGCCTGCAGGTGAACACCAGAGTCATATCTTATTTCAGAACAATGGGGTTCATAGTTCTTATTTTCTAGGTCATTGTGATCCTCCTTTTGCAAGTTTATTTCCTTATCAGACACATCCTCCACAGATGGATCCACTACAAGCTGAACAGGAACATCAGAATCATAACTTGCTTCAAAATCAACTAGCCTATAACTCTTATCTTCCAGGTAAATATGGTCTTCTTTCAGATTCATTTCTTTGATAGCCTTCTGAAGCTGGTCAGCCGCTGAACAACAAGGATCATTGGAGTCAAAAGTTATTTCATGACTACAAGGATCACTACTATGACAAGGACCATTGGAGTCAAAAGTTATTTCATGACTACAAGGATCACTGCTATGACAAGGATCACTGGAGTCAAAAGTTATTTTACGGCCACAAGGATCACTACTATGACAAGGATCATTGGAATCAAAAGCTTTTTCACGACCACAAGGATCACTGCTCTGAATTTCCAAATTGGCATGCCCTTCTTGCAAAATTTGTGGTTGCTGAATCACTGAGCAAAAAGGGGTACTTGGAACATAAATTATTCCAGAACCACAAGGTTCATAGCCCTTATCATCCATATAAGCATGTCCCTCCCTCAGAAGATTTATTTCTTTAACAGGTTCTTGAATTTTACTAATCACAGACTGAAAAGGGTCATCTGAGTCAAAATTTATTTTTGAATCACTAGGTTTGACACTCTTATCTTCCAAGTTGACATGTTGTTTCCAAAGGTTGGTCTCCTGAGCTACTTCAGTTTGGCCAGCCACTGGCTGAAGGACATCAGAATCATATGTAATTTGAAAACCCTTAGCTTCATCCTGTTCACCTTCTACGTCAATGTTTTCATTCTTCCAAAGATCCATTTCTTTTCTGGTGTCACTAAGCTGGTCATATTCTAAAATATGCTTCTTCTTTCTCTTCGCTTTTTTACCAGTTCTTTGAGATTCTGTCACTGACTGAAGACATTCACCAGAATCAAAAACTTCAGAATCACAAGACTGATTGCACTTACTTTCTTGCTCAATGTGCTTTGATTCCAAAATAGTTATTTTAGGTTGATTAACTCTTGACTGGACCAAGAAATCAGAATCAAAACTTGTTTCAGAACAACTATATTGGCTGCTCTTAGTTTCCAAGTACATTTGATCTTCATTCTCAAGGTTTATTTGTTTAACAGCTACCTCAGTTTGATCAGCTACAGACTGAAAAAAAACATCAGAATCATGTGTTACTTTTGAACCATTAGGTTCACTAATCTTATTTTTAAGGCCAATGGCCTCTTCCTTCCACAGGTTTATTTTTGTAATTGCTTTGTGATGTTGTTTAGACAATGACTGAAGAGAGTCAACAGAATTAAAACTTATTTTAGAATCACTAGGTTTACTGTTTCTGTCTTTCAGATCAACATGCTTTTCCTTCCAAAAGGCCAGATGAGGTTGATCAGTGACTGAATGAAGAAAGCCATCAATATTCAAATTCATTTCAAAACCTCTAAATTGAGTACTTTCATCTTCTGGGTCAGCATGGCCCTCCTTCAAAACAGCTAGTTGAGGTTTTTGTGTGATTAACTGAGGAAGGACATCAGAATTCAAAATCAGTTCAGAAGCACCATATTTATCACTCTTCTCTTCTACAATATGCTTTGTCTTTCTCTTTGCTTTTTTACCAGCTCTCTGAGGTTCTGTCACTGGATAATGAAGGACCCTAGAACCTGAATTTATTACAGAACCATTAAATTCAGCACTTTTACTTTGTAACTCAGCATGCTTTTCTTTTTGAAGCCATATATTTTTAACAACTACTTGAGGTTTGTAAATAACTGAATGAATAGAAGTATCAGAATCCAAGCCTGTTTCAGAAACATTTAATTCATTACTCTTGTTTTCTAAGTGTATGTGTTCTTCTTGTTGAAAGTTTATGTCTTTAACAGGATCTTCAGAATGTCCAGGATTTGAGTGAAAAATATAATCCAAACTTAATTCAGAATCAGCAGGCATGTTTTCCTTAATTTTTACATGTACCTGCTCTTCTTTTTGAGAATTTTGCTTTTTAACAGTTACTTCGGGAGGATTAGTCACTGAAGGAAGAGGGCATAAAAATCCAAATTTATTTCACAATCACTGGGTATGTCATTCTTCCTTTCTAAGTGTACGTATTCTTCTTCCTGAATGATTACTTCAACAGCTACTTCAGGTGGATCATTTCCTGAATGAAGAGGAATATCAGAATCAAAAGTTATTTCAGAAATACAAGATTCATTACTCTTATTTTCCAGATCAACAGGTTCCTCCTCATAATCAGCTACTTCAGGTTGGTCAACTACTGAGAAATTAGGAATATCAGAATCAAAAGTTATGTCAGAACTACTTGACTCACAGCTCTCATCTTCCAGGTTAATGTGATCTTCTTTTATTCTTTCAACATCCAGCTCAGTAACTGACAGAAGAGGGGAATCGGAATCAAATGTCAACTCAGAACTGGAGCACCCATTGCTCTTAACTTCCATGTCGACATTTAACTCTTTAAGATTTACTTCACCCAAAGCCCCTTGAGGTTGATCATTAGCTGACTGATAAAGAAAAGCATGAGAATCAAAACTTAGATTAGAAATGCTAAATCGAATACTCTCAATCTCTAGATCAATATCTACTTTCTGAGGGTTTACTTCTTTAACTGCTACTTGAGATTGATCAGCCACTAATTGAGCATCAGCATGAAAACCCATTTCAGGACCATGAGACTCACAGTTCATATCCACAAGGTCAGCATTCTTCTCTTTCAGAAGATTTACCTCTTCAATATCCCTCTGGGGTTCATCAGTCACGGTCTCAAGAGACACGTCACAATCAAGATGTGCTTTAGCACCACTGGGTTTTCGTTTCTTATTTTTTAGGTGAACAGGTCTATCTTTCAGGTTTCTTTCTTTGACAGTCATTTGGGGATGGTCCAGAGAAGCATCACTATCAGAACTTGCTTCAGAAAAACTTGATCCATAGCTCTCATCAACCAAACTAATGTGAGCCTTCTTCCTACATTTTATTTCTGTGACAACCACTGGGGGTTCATCAAGTGAGAAGTCATCACTTACTTCAGAGCTACTAGATCCATAGCTCCTATCAACCAACTCAATATGCACTTTCTTAGGAAGGCTTCCTTCTTTTTCAGGCTTTTGGGGATAATCATTAGTTGACTGAAGTGAGTCACCACTATCAAAATTCATTTCAGAGCCACTAGAATCATAGCTTTCATCAACCAAGCTAACACGTTTTGTATTCTGACGACTTATTTCTTTATCAATCACTTGAGACTGACTGGTAACCACCTCAACAGAATCAATGCAAACACCACCTGCAGCTGTTTTAGAAAAACCAGATTTATTATTCTTATCCTGCACCTCAGCAGGTATTTCCTCTGAAAGGTTTATTTCTCTGGCAGTCAGTTCAGAGAGGGCAGTCAGTGAATGACAAGAGGAACCACAATCAAAGCTCATTTCAGAAGCTCTAGCTTCGTAGTTTTCATCTTCTTGGTCAACTCGATCTTCATTGGAAAGCTTTAAGCCTTGTACAGCCTTTTGGAATTGATCAGACGTTGACTCAAGGAGCCATGATCAAACTTCCTTTCAGAATTCACAGAGCACTTCTGTTTCAAAGTTGCTGGCTTGTTTAAATCGGGTTGCTTTTCTTTGGGGGTACAATCTGTATTTGAAAAGGATTCCTCATGGTGCTCTGGAATAGCATCTGCAGAGATTCCTTTATCAGAAGGTATGTCAGTTTTATTCAATTTTGCTGAATTTGCTGCTGATTCTGAAGAAGACTCAACACTTACAACACTTACAGAACCCTCAGTGCTTTTAATTTCACGGAATTTAAAGACAGGTGTCAGAGATTCGCCCTTAGATTTTGCATTTTTCTGTGAAAGCCATTTATCTAAATTTATACATACGCTTTTCTTATTTGATTCTTTAGGCTTTTCTGAAGAAGTTCCTGGGTTAGATGACCCAGAAGCCTCATCTAGCTGATCAAAGAACGGTTCACTGTTTAGATAACATGGGCTAAGTGATTCTGAAGAGACTGCTAGTGCTAACCTAGTAGTCTTAGCTGCAAGTGGTCTTTGATAAGAGCTTTTAGATAAACGACTAGCAGGAGCATTACAAATCACTGGGGGGCGAATTAATTTTTTCCCATTATTTGTAGCTTGACCAATTTCTACTGGATTAATTTTTTTCATACCACTCTCAATGTTATGAACAAACGGCAAGGACTGCTGCTGTCCCTTCTCCAGTTTCTGGATAACTGATGGCCGAATTGAAAACTCGTCTGCACACTCCTGAGAATTAATAGGTCCACAATCCAGCTCTTCATCAGATTCAGAATCATCGGAGTACATCTCTTCACTGCTATCAGTAGTATCTTCATCCTTTTCTTCAGGAATAAATTCATCCAAAACAACCAAGTCAGGTGATCCAGGATTTGCAGCAGGTGCCTCATTTTGTGCTGATCTAAAGGGAAAACCATAAAAATATTCTAGTATGTGTTTAAAATGCATTAAAAATGCTGTTTTCTTTCTATCCCGGACCTTTCTTAGAAGACAAAGAATCAAGGTAATCACACCAGAGTGTACACTCTCTGTACTTTATGAAGGTAGGTAATTAAGTGCTGAATACAGAGTTAGCTCTACCAATTACTACCTAATAAACACAAATGGTTCCTAAACATGACAAAAATGCAATGAAGCCATGAATCATTTTAAGTTACCACAGTAAATAGCAAGAAGTTTGACACAAGTTACTTAGCCTTATATGCCTCATATTCCACGTCTGAAATAATACTATTTTCAGTCATGAGATCATTCTGAGAAGTAAATTAGCTGATATAATGTAAGGAGCATTAAAGAGAAAAAAAAAAAAACCTAACACATAGTAAGCATTACAAATGTCAGCTATTATTTTAAACATTATTTTGGCAACGGTGTTAACATATGAACTTAAAATACTTTGTCAGCAGGGGTACAGATTAGTTAACTTCAGGTTATTAATCTTTATATAGACTGGAATCCTCTATGAAGAGCAAACTGACAATGTCAATTAAAATTTAAAATGTACACACACTCTGACTTAGTAATTCCAATTTTGGTTTCCTCTGTGTTTAATGAGGAATCAATAAGAATATTCAGTGCTATTTTGTTTTTATTTTTGGTAATAGCAAATGACTAGAATCTACTTTAACACTCATCAATTGGAGCTGAGTGCCAGTGCCTCACATCTACAATCCCAGTTACATGGGAGGCTAAAATCAGAAGAATCACAGTTTGAGGTCAGCCCCACCAAAAAGTTCATGAGACCCCCATCTCAACCAACAGCTGGACATGGTGGTATGCATCTGTCATCCCAGTGAAGCGTAAATAAGAGAATTATAGTCTAGGCCAGGCTAGGTACAAAGTAAGACCCAACCTCCAATATAACCACAGCAAAAAATCTGGAGGTGTGGCTCAAGTGGTAGAGCATGTAACTAGCAAGTTTGAAACTGTGAGTTCAAATCCCAGTACTACCAAATAATAAAAATAAAAAACACTCATCAATTAGGTACTGGTTAAATAATTAATGGTACTTAATAGATTACAAGTAGGTTTTAGAATAAGGCAACTCTGTAAGTACTAATAACTATCAATCACTATAAGCATTGTTGATGAGAAGCACTGTTGGTGAGAAGCAAGTATACAAAGAATACTAACTACTAAAATACTAATACTAAAATAGAAGAGAATAAACTATACAGTTAGGAGTAGGGCAGCTATTTCAGTGGTAGAGTGCTTGCCTAACATGTTCAAAGCCCTGGATTCAATTCCTGCTATTGTCAAAAATAAAAAAACATTTTTAGGTGGGCACGGTGGCACACATCTATAATCCCAGTACTTGGGAAGCAGAAGCAGAAGGACTGTGAGGCCTGTCTGGGCTACACAGTAAAACAATCTCAAAAAAAAATGTGTATACACATACTCCTTTGGAGTATCTGTAGAAACACGTGTAAGAAACTGGTTACACTGTTACCTACAGAGACGTGAACAGGATCAGCTGGAATATAAAGATGATTCCTTTTTTTTTTTATTTCTAAGATGATGGTTTTGCTCTGCTGCCCACGTTGGCCTCTAACTCCTAAACTCAAGCAACTGTCCTGCCTCTGCCTTACAAGTAGTTTGAACTACAGGTATGTACCATCACACCTGGTTTAAGATTCATGTTTGAATGTGTCATCAAAATGATGCCTATCTGTATATATTTCTCATTGAAAATTATAAATTACATTGTTTTTAAGACATAAAACTTCCTATCAAAAATAATCAATGCAAACTTATCATTAAGACAACATGCTTGATTCGGTGCATTTTAGGGATTACTCTTTCATATGTACACAAGCAGCTGGCTTTAAGGATATTGTCATATTCTGATTTTTTTTTTCCAGTACTCCTGGGGGGTTTGAACTCCATTTGAGCCATGTCTCCAAGTCCTTTTTGCTTTCATTTTTCAGATGTGCCTTGGGCTTTTTGTGCAGGCTAGCCTGTGGTACTCTCAACTACACCTCCCCTGTAGCTAGGATGACTGCAGATATGCATGATCACACTGAGCTTGTTTACTGAGATGGAGTCTTGATAACTTTTTGCCTGGGCTGGTAGGATGACTCAAAGCAGTAGAGCCCCTGCCTAGCAAACCTGAAGTCCTGAGTTCAAAACATGGTACTGGATGTGAGGGCGATCTGGCTGCGACATCTGTCACCCCATTGATCGCCAGGGTTGACTCGGCTGGCTAGGCAGGTGTCCCCTTCCTCCCTCACCGCTCCATGTGCGTCCCTCCCGAAGCTGCACGCTCAGTCGAAGAGGACGACCATCCCCGATAGAGGAGGACCATTTTTCAGTCAAAGGTATAAGAGTAGCTGTGTTCCCCTGCTAGAACCTCTAAACAAGCTCTCAAAACATGGTACCACCACCATACATATATATACACACATATATATATGTACGTACATATACATACACACATATATATGTACGTACATATATATACACATATATATGTATATATACACATATACACATTCATATATGATAAAAATGCAAAAAATCCGTAATTTTTCTATTTTTGAACTCTTGTCAGTGAAACTGCAGTGCAGTAATTATTTTACCTTAAGTTTCCTGGATCCCTTCATCTTCATTCATCATAAGGACTATCACAACATACTCAAAATTAATTGTGTAGTAAGATAGAAGAGAAAAAGGAAGGAAACAAAAAGGAAAGGAGAGGGAAAAAAGTGGAATCTCAATTTTACCTTTTGGTAACATCTGATAAGGCTTAGGAACCACCACTTGTTTTTATTTGCATTTGTATGTGTGTTTAAAATTTGGAGGGCTGGAAGCATGGCTCAAGTGGTACCGTGCCTACTTAGCAAACATGATGCTCAGAATTCAAGCCCCAATACCAAAAAAAAACTAACTCATAATCCATATTTCTAGTCATTCATAATTAACTTTAGAACAAATGGCCTCCAAAAATCTAACCATTAAAGGAAAAACCATTCTTTATAACTCAAACTAAAAAAGGTTTAAAAAACTGCAAGTAAATAAGTTGAAACAATTACATATGAAAATCTCTCTGAGGGGCTAAGCTCAAGTGGTAGAGTACCCGCCTAGTAAGCATGAGGACCTGAGCTCAAATCAATTGTGCCAAAATCTATAAGATATGGCTAAAACCTCATATTTTTAAAGACTTTCATTAAAAGATGAATTGGGTCAGGTATAGTGGTTCACCCCTGTAATTCCAGCTATTCAGGAGGTAGAGACTGAAGAACAGAAGTATGAAGCCAGTGGATGGGAGTTGGCGGGGGTGCACAAGCCCTATATGAAAAATAACTAAAGCAAAAAGGGCAGAAGGTGTGGCTCAAGTGGTAGCACACTTGCCAGCAAGTGCAAAGCCCAGAGTTCAAACACCAGTATTGCCAAAAGAAAAAAAGAAAAAATTAGTAAAACAAACCAACAGGATACCCAATCCAACAAGATGGAAAAACAACAACCAAATTGTCCTAGTACAAAGGTAAATGAGATAAATTAAGAAAAACAAAAAACAAAGTAAAAATAAGGCAAAAGATGATTTTTCAGGACAGTTAAAAGTAAGAAAAAAGCCTACAATATCCAGACAAGGGAGGAACAGAGGAGGAGTTTAAAAAAAAAAAAACCATAAATGTTATAATCTAGAAAACTTATAAACAAAGTAATATAGCATTGGTATGAAATTTTTTAAAAACTGAAAGAACCAAGTGGTATTCAAAATCAGATACACATACATAAACACACAGACTTACAAAAATACAGGGATGAGATTATGTTACAGGTGGTAACATTTTATATCAGCAGGGATAATTAGAGATATATTTATAAAAATTAAGTAGAGTCCTGCCTCCAATTACATATAAAAAATTCCACGATGGGGGTTGGGGATTTAGCTCAGTGGAAGAGCGCTTGCCTGGCAAGTGCAAGGCCCTGAGTTCGGTCCCCAGCACCAGGAAAAAAAAAAAAATTCCATGATGATTAAAAATATTTATAGGAAGAAACAAAAATATAAACATAATAGGAGTCATAAAGGAAATTTCTCCTTAGATCTGATTACATTAAAATGCCTAAGTTCTATATGGAAAAAAAGAAAAAACATATACAACTAAAAGATAACAGATTGTAAGACAGTATGTGACAGTATGTGTACAAAGGACTATTTAAGCTATCATATCCAAAATATACCAATAAATCAACAGAAAAATGGGCAAAGCATGTAAGCAAACAATATACAAGACAAAATATGGCCTATAAATATACAAAAGAAGTTCTTTTTTACTTGTTTTTAAAAAAAGGCTAATTAAAAGAGAGATACTTTTTTGGTATACTATGTTTGGAGGAGGGTAAAACAAGGTTGAGACTCCCAGTGTTAGGAATGTCACGGAAAGAGCATACTCATATCCTGCTGGTGCCAATATAAATTAGTCTGGGCTTTCTAGGAAGTGTCTATCAAGGATTTAAAATGTCCACACATAATTTGAGTAACAAAATAAATTATAAATAGTAACAGAACAAAACCCAAATAAAAGAAATATACATGAGACTATAATGATAAAAATTAACTGAATAAATAAACAAGAGAACAATCTATTTTGGTTTACCTTGTACACCTGGGGCTGCAAACTCACTTTCATATGAAATACGATTTTACAACAGTGTTGTTCTTTAATATAGGACAGGACATTAACTCTTAAATGTTATCAAAATATACTTATTTTTTAATGACCAAAACAAACTGATACCTTAAAAAAAAACACCAATATACTGACAATTATAAAGAGACACAATTTTATTTGTTATTTCTACCGAGTTAAGCAAGCTGTTCTATTAATGTGGAATTAACTTAGCTTTTAACTTTTTACTTTTTTGACTATTCTTACTCTGCTTCTTACCTTTATTTTCCTTTTTGTTTTTTTGTTGTTGCTGTTCTCTTTTTATTTTTTTTTTTTGTTTTTGCTTTTTTTTTTTTTCATTTTTCTTTTATTATTCATATGTGCATACAAGGCTTGGTTCATTTCTCCCCCCTGCCCCCACCCCCTCCCTTACCACCCACTCCGCCCCCTCCCTCTCCTCCCCCCCCCCAATACCCAGCAGAAACTATTTTGCCCTTATTTCTAATTTTGTTTTAGAGAGAGTATAAGCAGTAATAGGAAGGAACAAGGGTTTTTGCTGGTTGATGCTTCTTACCTTTAAAACATCTTTTTGCTCCCACCTTTCTTGTCCCTCCCACCCCTAGTTAATCCTTTGACACACTGACTAAACACCTTAAAGATATATAACTATTTATTGATCTAAGACTTTGGAAAATCATCATATAGTCCATATCTTCTGCATTGAAATTTCTTTTCTTTTCTGTAGTATTGGGGATAGAAACCTTCTACCACTGAGCTGTATTCCCAGCCTCAGATTAAAATGTCCTTACTTAAGCTAGAAAAATTTAAAACTGTAAATGGAAGTTACTAGGTAAATTTTCACTTGAGAGATGGGGGTGCAGCTCAGTAATAGAGCATTTGCCTACTCCTAAAGTAAATTTTTATCTACTTTTGTATTTCTTAATTCCAGGGCACATTTACAAAGTTCTGAAACAGCAACACAAACACCAGTTGTAACACAGAACTTTGTGGTAGTATTCCACTGAGTGGTTACCTTACCTGCTGTCTTGGTAATTATATGGGTGGTGTCGCAGTACATCCTGCAAGAAGCGTTCCATCAAACTGTTGGGACATATTCGACGTCTACTCTGTCTGGTCAAACTTCTGTGCTGAGCACTGAACAAATGCTATAAAGAAAACAGAAAGTGAATAATTTTAAATGAGAAACAATCATTAGTGGTGAGAATTTTACAAAATGGATTCATTTATATATTCCTGGTAGAAGTATACATTGATACCTTTTTCCATACAAGAATTCTAAAATGTACATCTAAAACCCACAAAAGTATCTTTCTCTTAAATACAGAATTATATTTCTCCAAATATATCCTAAGAAAATGATACTAAGTGTGGATACTTATGCCAAAAAAGGGTGATTTCTATCAGAGCATGTAACAAAAAACCAGAAACTCCCTGTCTAATAATAAAATCCTTCAATTATTATATGCCCTAAGATGTAATATTGTGTAGCTGTCTAAAATAATACAAAGAAAATTTAACATGGAGAAATGTTACGTATTAAAATAAAAATGAAGGATGCAAAAGTCACATGCATGGTTTTACCTCAAATTACCATTTAAAAATATACAGACAAGTAAATGGAAGAAAATATACCAAAATCTTAAAAGCATTTATATGTATGGTATGGTTATGGATAATTTCAAATTTTAATAAATTCTTCTATTTTTCAATGAGCAAATAATTTTATAATAAAAATCTGTGAAAAGAGAGAACAGGGTTGGATCCTTGTGCTAAAAAACAAAGATTAATTCACAAAAAGCCCTTCACTTATTTTTCCTTCAGAGATTAAGAATCCTGAAGGCAGGATTCTTTAATGTAAAATAAATACATTAAGTTCTTCGTCTTGTCCACAGTTAAAAAGACTCTGCCTTTACTAATGCCATTTAGTGGACTGGCAAACAGGGTGGGAAAGAAGTCTGATGCAGACTGAGACATATGAAATACCAAATGCAGTACCATTCTGTTTACATGGTAACCTCAGTGAGAATAGAGACCTCTTTTGACACAAAGACACTGGGGCACAAAAAAAGTTAAATTCCCCAAAGTTATGCCAGGATTTGAACAGTAAGTTTAACTCTAAAGTTACGTTCTTTTTATTGTTATGCTAGCACTAATGTTATTTATAACTTAGTAACATGCTTTAAATTTAGCAACACTTGAGGAAAATTGTGTCTTTCATATCTCGAAGTAAATGTGCTAAAAGAGCTTACATCAGGTTGCTAGCTCCTGACCACTATTATAACTCTTGAAATTATTTCCTTCCTGTTGTTCTATAATTGTTCTTCCATGTTGTTCCATAGTGCTATCTTGGTCCCAATAATCATCTAAATTATCACAATCTCAAAATCTTCTTGAAACAAAACTCCCCACCATCCAGTACCCATCACCAGAGCGCTAAACTACTGGTAGTTGAAGGGGACAAGTACACAAGAGAACAAATAAAGATTCAATTAAATCCAACCTTGTCCTCTCTCTGCCAGGCAATCTGAATGGAAAACTGCACTTATACAATTTGCAGTAAACTACCACACTATAGATATATTCCAGATGGGTCAGTTCCTTTAGAATTTTTGAATTGGTATGTAATATACACAAAAACACAAATCATATACATATAGCTCAATAAATTATCAAAGTAAAGACATCCATAACCATCTATCCATGAGAATAAGTCCTAGAACTCCGATGCCCATACAAATCTAATATCCCTCCCTCTTCCCCCAAAGTAATTATTATCCTAATTTTAACACTATTTTAAAAGGTTCTGAGATTTATATAAATGGAGTCATACAACGTGTATCATTTTACATTCAGCTTCTCGTGTAACACTTTATTTATATTCTTCCAAATTAGCTGCAATCTATTCATCTTCAGGTCTATTCCATGTATGAATGTATCGTGTTTTATTTATCCATTCTGCTCTTGATAGATTTGGGGCTGCTCCCAGTTTTGGGCATCACACAGAATGCTGCAAAGAACCTTCTTCTATGTCTTTTTAGTGCTAATACACACACATTTTTGTAGAGTATATTACTAGGAGTAGAACTTCTGAATCATAAAGTATGCAAATATTCAGCTTTAGTATTCACTGAAGGCCAGTCTTCCAAAATGGTTGTACCAATTTATACCTCTTCCAGCAGCGTACCACAGAGTATGTATCGAGGAAGAGCAACAATGGATATTATCAAGTCTTTTTAATTTTAGCCAAAGTAGAAGGTGTTCAATGTTATATCATTGTGTCCTCCACATGCAATTTTCTGGCCATCTGGATAGCCTCTTTTATGATGGATCTGTTCAAATCTCTTCCTGGTTTGGGGGTGTTTTTTGTTTTTTGTGGTACTGAGGCTTGTGGTACAAGGCCTACACCTTGAGCCACTCCACCAGCCCTTTATTTGTGAAAGTTTTTTCGACATAGGGTCTCACGAACTATTTGCCTGGGCTGGCTTTGAACCACGATCCTCCTGATCTCTGCCTCCTGAGTCGCTAGGATGACAGGCGTGAGCCACCAGTGCCCAGCCTTATGTTGTTTGTTTTGAGGGCAGGTCTTGCTGTCTCCCAGGCCAGCCTGGAACTCTCTATGTAGTTCAGGCTGGTCTCAAACTTGAAATCCTCTCGCCTCGACCTCTTGAGTGCTGGGATTACAGATGTACACTACACCACAGCATCTTCCTGATTTCCAAATACAGGGTTTTTTTTTTTTTTTTGCAGTACTGGGGTTTGAACTCGGGCCCTCACGCTTGCTAGGCAGGCACTCTACCACTTGAGCCACTCCACCAACCCAATGTCCTCTTTGTTAACGTGTAGAAATTCCTTATCTATTTTGGACACAAGCTCTTTGTTCAAGCATCATCTTTCTCTCTTGAGAGAGAAAGCCTTCTGTTGTCTCATAACTTTGCTGCAGCCTGCTGTGTGTTGTCTTTCAGTGCTCTTTCAGTTCTTCCTCACCTAAGTCATGAAGACTTTCTCCTATTTGTTTCTAGAAGCTTTACTATATTACCTATCACATTTACATCTATAACTCATTTGGAATTAACCTTTATATACAGGGTGATTCAATGATAACATATCATTTTTCTTCCCAAATGGACATCCAATTGACCAACTATCAATTATTGAAGGGAAGTCCTGTCTTCACTTCTCTGTAGTGTCACCCTTGTCACAAAACAAATACCCATGTAGTATGTCTTGTTTCTGTAGTTTCTGTGTTTCCATGGTCTTTCAAATTCTGCACCAAGACTGCACTGTTTGAAAGTCTTGAAAGGTTTGAACAGCTGCACTGTCTTAATAACTGCAGTTTATAAGTTTTGATATCTGCTTTTCACTCTGTTCTTGAATATTATCTTGGTTTTTCTTAGCTTATTGCATTTTCTTGTTTGTTGTGGGACTGGGGTTTGAACTCAGGGTTTCATGCTTGCAAGGCAGGCATTCTAAGCCACACCTCCAGTCTATTTTTTCCTGATCTTTTCAGAGATGGGGTCTTGCAAACTATTTGCCTGGGCTGGCCTCGAATTGCTATCCTCCCAATCTCAGCCTCCCAAGTAGCTAGGATTACAGGCGTGAGCCACCAGCGCCCAGCTTTCCATATTTATTTTTGATTGGCTTAATTTTCATTAAGAAAACTTTCTGAGATTTTCATTATAGTTTCATTGGATAAATATAACAACTTGGGAAGAACTGACATTTACAATATTGGTTCTTCCAATCCATGAGCATTAAGACTTCTCTCAATGAGCAGACTTTCTTGTTTGTTTTTAAACTGGTACTAGGGATCAAACTCAGGGCCTCAAGCATGCTAAGCAAATGCTCTACCACTGAGCTACATCCCCAGTGCTCAATGCTTGTAGATTTTATATAAACATCTTATACGTATTTTGTTTAAGTACTCCTTAGGATTTGGTGTTCTTTGGTATTACTGTAAATGGTATCTTCGTTAAATCTTATTTTCTGCATGGTGTTTGCATATAAAAATACAATTTCTTTTTCTGTTGGTCCACCAGCTATGTGTACGTGCATGCATGTATGATTTGCCCGTGTTGCCCAAGTGGTCTCAAAATCATGGAATCAATAAATCCTCCTGCCTCAGCCTCCTAAGTAGGTAGGACTACCAGCACACAGCACTGCACCCAACTCCAACAGCCTTTTTAAACTCATTAACTCTAATAGTTTATGTGGATATCTTTTGGATTTTCTATTTCCATAATCATGCGTGTAAAAAATAACAGTTTTCCTTCTTCTTATCTGACCTTTATCATTTTAATCTTTTTTTCCTTACTTCTGTGGCTAGATCTCCAATAAAATACTGAATTTTTTTTCTTTTTGCACTGCTGTAGATTGAACTCAGAGACTAACACATGCTAGGCAAGCACTCTGCCACTGAGGCTCATTCCACCACCCACAACTCCCAGTCACTGAATAGTTTTAATTTAACTCAAGCATTAAATCTATTTTCACTTAACACATCACTTGGATATATGTAACTGAAGTTTTTTAATCTGTTTTAATTATTCTTACCTACTACACAATATTCTTTTTTCTTTTCTTTCTTTCCTTCTTGTGGACTCTGCTTTACTATTCTAACTTTCCCCTTTCTGTTAACTTGGTAGTTATACTACCTAATCTACTAGAGTAACAAATTATAATAACCCACCCTGAACTATTAAAGTCTAAAATTACTTGCTATCTTCATTCTCTTCACGAACAATGTAAGATCCTTAGATATTAACTCCATTTACTGCCCTCCCAACCTATATGGCATTGTTGTTAATCCCACAAAACATTATTTATTTAGATTGCCTACATATTTACCTTTCATTGCTCTTCATTACTTCCTGTTAGCTCTGAGCTTCCATCTGGAATCATTTTCCTTCTGCCTGAAGAACTCCTTTTAGTTTTTCCTTTAGTGAGGGTCTGCTGGTGACAAATTCCCTTAATTTTTGTTTCCTGAAAATATTTTTATTTCACCTTACTTTTAAAAGATATACTTAAGTGAGTAGAGAATTCTAGGTTGGCAGTTGTTTTCTTTCTTTTGGCTTCCATTGTCTCTATCGAATAATCCACTACATCTAAACCCCATATTTCTTCACTGCCTTAATAGTTTTCCAAAGTC